CTAACTGTGATTCCTGTAGCACAATTTCTAAAACTATTCAGACTTATAGCAAAACCACTCACTGAGTTTGCAAAACTAAAAGCACAAAAACTTTAGGGCGACCGTGGCTCAGGGGGTTAGGGAATCGCATCTGTAACCGGAAGGTCGCCGGTTCGATCCCTGGGCTCTCTGTCCTGGTTGTTGTGTCCCTGGGCAAGACACTTTACCCTACTTGCCTACTGGTGTTGGCCAGAGGGGCCGATGGCGCGATATGGCAGCCTCGCTTCTGTCAGTCTGCCCCAGGGCAGCTGTGGCTACAACTGTAGCTTGCCTACACCAGTGTATGAATGTGAGAGTGAATGAATAGTGGTATTGTAAAGCGCTTTGGGTGCCTTGAAAAGCGCTATATAAATCCAATCCATTATTATTAAAAACTGCTTTGCACTCAGTTTGCAATTTTGTAACACACACTTTGCAAAACTGTAGGCACAATTCACTGCACAACACTCAATTACCAAATTTCCAACACACTCCTAGCAAAAGTATACACATGTATGGCTATCATTAACACTAATTTGCCAACTGTCTGGCACACTTTCACATGTGAAAACTTTTTTAGATAATTCGTTCACTTTGCAGTCAGCCTAAGCACTATAATACAGGTAAGCTGTGTGTGCGGAGTACAATGGAGGGAGCAGAAAGAGCGAGAAGTAGAGGAGGCCGAGGAAGAGGACGTGGAGGTGAAGAAGTAGGATGAAGAGGACGACAAGGACAAGGAGGAGCAAGAGGAAGATGAGGAGGGGGTAGAGGAAGATGAGGAGGGGGGAGAGGAAGGGTAAGAAGAGTAAGAAATAGAATTGCTGATGACATCAGAGCTACAATAGTGGACCATGTAATCAACCGTGGAATGACCCTGAGGGTAGCTGGCCAACGGGTCCAGCCTAACTCGAGCCGCTACACTGTAGCAAGCACCATAAGGACATCTTGAAATGAGAATCGGTTAGTACAGTCACTTCGCACAAAGATTTGTAGCACTGCCATATGCCAATGAGAAACACACCAATACCATTGATGTAAAAATACTGAAATTGTTACTTTACAGAATTGCTAGATGACCAGATGCTGGGGGCATGTTCACTGCAGACCAAGTAACCCATATAGTCATTATGGCGATTGCAAATAATCCTATACTTGGAAATAAACACTTGTGTTTGTTTTGATGTGTTTGAATAAACACCAGTACTTGAAGTTTGGATCCCTCTATGCTTATGGATCTATGACAGACGTATGAGCTCAAACTGACATAGCCTACCTTGTGCACAGAGAAAGCAAAAGCCAGATGTGTTTTGTATTCATACCATCAGTGTGCAGTTGGCGCATTATGTGCTTAGTAGATGATGGCTTGTGTGTACTGTTTGATACGGAAACACCATTTTTACGAAGGTGTGAAGAGTTAATCCAGCTGTGTTTGCTTTTGCAAGAGAACTACAATGTTTTGATGATTGGGTGACAGGTTTTCTTATTTGTGTGAAGAGTTTTGCAAAATTAGCCAATAGTTACAAAAAATGTGCTTAAGCAATCAGAAAAAACTGTAATATTTGTTTATGTACCGTATTTTTATTTTTTTGCACTAAGTAATCCCAAAATACAAGAATTTGTATACACACCATCCACTGATACACATACAATAGTAATGCTAATCTACTCGGTCTTCTCCATTTGGCCACAGGTTCTCATCCACATCACATCTCATGTCATCTAGGGCAATACACCTAGGAAAGAATCTTCTGGCATGCCAGAATTGAAGGAGTTGAAAAATTGAAGGAGTAACACCTGTGTAGATGTTCATCTACAATGAGAATCAGCTGTGGCTGGTTAAACTGCATTTTTAGATTTAAAATATGTTTCAATAAAATATTGCTGTTGAATTTTGCTGTCTTTTTAAGTTTTGCATTGTGTTATTGTTTTGGCCATAAGTTTAACAGTTTTGAAAACAGTATGTAAGCACATGCAAAATGTCCTGTACGTACAAAGATTTTTGGCAGTTGTTGTGTCTGAGTGAGAAAATAATTCATGAAATTTGAGAGATGTAGTCATTGAATGCATTTTGTGCCAAAACAATGATAACTGATCCTCAGTTTAGCCCACATAGACTTCTGTTGTGCTCACTGTGTGAGGAGTTTTGCAAAAGTGACCTAAGTATTGAGAAATGTGTCCTAGCGTCTGTAAAAAACTGTAACTTTCGTAGGGCAGTTTGTGAAGAGTGAAGTTTGCACAGAAATCAAACGTATTAAAACCAAAGTGGAAACAGTGACAAACTGCTTCCTCCAGTGACAAATTAATTCTCAAAAACAAGTTGTAAGAATTAGTCAGAAATTGCTTTGAGATTCTGATAAAGTTAGGAAGAATTTTCCACACTGGATACAAGATGAGTAAGCTGCTGTTTGACTTAATCATGAATTTCCCAGCAGGAAAGAAAAAATTACTCTATACTGCAGTCAGGATAGGGCATATCTGATGTTATGTGTGTAACAAAGAATTTTAGGGAATTTTGTCTCCCCAGTCTCCCTGACACTGATGCAATGTGTCTTGCATAAAGTAAAGAAAATGCCAAAGAAGAAAATGCCAGCAGAGAAACAAGGAATCTGTGGACACAGAGGGTCCTCTGTTAGACTCATGAATCTTCCAAGATCACGTTACAACAAGCCGAGCTTCAGTAAGTAAATGGAGATATTGTTGCACTGTGAATGTCTCTGTTGTTTTTCTGTGTTTTCACAAATGAAGTCGATGGACACTGGTTGCTTGCTCGGTTTTATAACGGGGTGAGGAAAGTGCATCTGGTCTCCAAAAGAACTGATGGAATTTCTCTCTAGCAGAACAATGCCATCTTGTCAGTGGTAAGATATATGATCAGTTCCTGGGTGTTAGTACAGGACTGGCATTAAAACTGCAGGATACAGTCAAGTGCCTTTTTCCTTAGGACTTTGTCAAATTTGAACGGACACTTCCCTTTTGTCACTGGAAAATTCATTCTTTTTATAACAAGCTGTAGTAAAAAGGCCAACATTGTCACATCAGCCTCACGAACATTTGTCACGCCACTAATTGCTCTGTGATTTATTCTAGTAAACGCCCGAGTCCAGTTAATCTCAGTGTCCTTGAAATCCTTCAAGGCCAGCTGATGAATGTGGTTCCTGCACATTCTTAGACTTGAACAGGAAGTACCCTTATTAAATGAAACTGATAGCGATCACAGCGTGGCTTCATGAAATGTAAGTGAACCGCACAAACGTTTGAACATTTCTGTTAGGTTTGGCAGCACTTAGCTTGGATTTCAAATGGACTTTGTTGCTGGGAAACACACACCATTTGTCAAGAGAATCAAGCTGGAATGAGACCAGTATTAGTCCAGTGAAATTTTAATAGCAGCCTTTTAAGTCTGATATGTGTATAAACCTCCAGGAGAGAGAAAAAAGAAGACAGAGGGGGGTGTAATCCTTGCTTGCTTTTTCTGCAGCATGACTGGAATTTCAATGCTTGTTTTCTTCACTGGAGTGTGTTGTTTGTCTTTCAGAGCATTCCTTCTTGGATATCCTCTATCTTTTCTGCTTCAACCTAATGGACCTTTCAAATAACCTTTGACCTACACTGGATTAAAAGACAACTTGCTGCACGTAGCTGCTTTTTCTCACTTGCCCTTAACCAAAAACATATTGTTCTTGTTCCTATTAAACATTTCTGTGGGTCCCAAGAGCACAAGGAGGATGTGATTACTTGCTTTTAAAGCCTCCCACAGATTCACTGTTCTTGCTGTGATTTGTTATTTAATGCAGGGGATGCATCCCAAAAGAGTTCATCACCTTAAACTGACTCAGAAATGATTCCTACATCCATTCCTTTAGTGTGACAGGACAACTTTCTTTCAGTTTCTAGAAAATCACATGCTTATCTGGGAGTATCCCACATTTCCAGACTGTGCCACACAGACACCACACACATACACAAAAATCTAACTGAAAGTGAAATCTGGGAAATTCCAGTTTTTAATATTGGCTTCTTTTGTGCCATAACATGTTCTTAATCAACAATCCAAAATGGGCACATTCCTTTTCTCTGATGTTAAGATGATAATGAATCAAAAGCAAACGAACAAAAAAAAAAACCCAATCCCAATACATAAACCATATGATACATATTTCATTTCTGAATGAATCAATTTGGTGTAAAAATTCAACCAGAAGGGACAAAAAATGGTCCAGTTTTGGTCTTTAAACATTTGGTCTAAATTATGAAAACACAGAGCAACAGAGCCGATGGTGCGTGGGTGTGAATCTATGTGCTGGTGACCTTAAGATGTGTCTGTGCATGTGTATGTGTGGGCAAAACGACGGCTAACAGCCAACAACCAAAAAAATCTTCACTCTTCAGCTGATTTAGAGGGTTTGGGTAATTTTTTTGTTGTTTTAGTAGTAAAATGTAACTGTATATGCAACAGTGAAGTCGCATATACAGTATTTTAATTCATCCTTTATTTTTGCACATTTTCCATTCTTTTAAAGTGTAAAACTTTCCAAAAATAATCACATTTATGCTTTTTCAGGGGGTTTTCCCACAGTTCTAAAGAAAAGACAGGATGTCTAAATTTACAGACTTATGGAAAGAGGAAGTGTAAATGACCTAAACAGATTTTTTTTTTATTATTTGTCTAAAAGTCAACGGTCTAAATCCATTTTTATGTGTTTTTATGAATATAATATCATGAATTAAAGTTTTCACAGCAAATATCAAATTGTGTTAAATGGACAAAAATATTATTTAAAGCTATTAATGTCTGTAAATACCTCACTCAAGACCTACAATAGTTAACAGTGCAAACATCAGACTGTGTAACATAGCCTGACTCATGAAAAACAGAAATATCGCCCCCCCCCGCATGCAAATTACTAACTGTGCAGTGAAAGTGGGAAGAGAGAGAGAGCAAGAGAGGGAGAGAGAGATAGGAGTCTGCTTGTACTTATTCACGACAGCTCGGAGCTGCACAGTCCAACAGGGGAAGCTGAGCAGAGGAGTAACAAATGACTGAGGGGTCATTGTTGAGTAAGGCAACTCAAATGAGTCAAAGTAGATTATTTGTTCAGCTGTCAGTGGGGCTCCTTCTCATTGCGGCAGGTAAGATGCTCTCATTTTCATTGCTAAAATGACGGTCTTCGAGATTTATAATGCATATTTGGTGTAATTTTGTCATATGATGTCTTTTTCTCAGTGGCCAAGACTTGTTTTTATTTATTTTTGTTATTTATTTATTTATTTATTATTTTATTTTCATTACCCACAAGGTCTATACGGATCAAGCATAAATGTGAAGCCATATTCGTGTTAGAGAAAGAGTCATTGGCGTGATTAGTAAAACAACAGCAGCTAAAGCTGTGACATGCCCCAGGTGCAGGACTTAATTTAACCAGAAGGGTGCGATAGATTGCCGTGTGTAAAAGAGAGAGAAAATAAAAGAAATGAAAAACAAATGGTGGATAGTTTCCCAGATTTTGTGAAAGAATGTGTAAAAGTACCCAGGGAGAAAAGAGGTGAAATCTGAACCAAATCTTTTCCCCTCAAATGAACACTTATTATGTGAAATCCAGTCTTCTTAGATGTGAGTTAAGGCTATTTATGCAACAGCAATTTCAACTTGCTGGCACTGGCTGTGACTCTGAATGTTCATTAGTGGTTTATTGGATTGATGTAGTTAAATGTATAGCCAGCTGTGTGTTGTTCTTTCCTTTCACTTTCCATTAAGTATATTTTTTTTTAAATATGTCTTTTTTTGGAATTGGGAGAACATGGAGGAATACTGCAATAAGGCTTCAGATTAATCAATAATTTCTTTCTATTAAAAGGTTTGATTTGTACAACAACTTCTTTTCCCCTTTAAAGGTGTTGTCTTCGTAAGGGTTCATTGTTCACCGTGAGGTCATGGACTGTAACCTCATCAACCTCTTGCTTTCACTGTTATCATTTAGGGAAGTGTGGCTGTGTAAAAAAACACTCTTTGGCATTATGATAATCTTGTTTCTACACGAGTCCTCCTGAATAACAATGTGGGGGGTACGGTGAAAGACAAATCCTTTAAAAAAGCTCTTTTCTGCTTAACAGGAAAATATATCAAAACAAGGGCTTGATAAAAGAAAAGTCTTATCTGGTGAGAATATTCACTGACATATTTTTTGTTCAGTTAGTGCACTGACTAAAAAAAGGGGGGAGATTATCAAACTCATTGTCAAAAGAATGACTCACCATGGGAAAGGAATGTACACAGGCAAATGAAGTCAGCTTCCAGGAAAAATATGTGTTGTTTAATGATTTATTTTATCCATGGTGAGCAAGCAAGCAAACGGTGGAGGGAAGAAACTCAAATACAGGTATTAGTGAGCAAAGCAAAGAAACACACAGGAGGAGGTGGTAGATCCCCCCAAATTGCTAATTTGCTTGTTTGACTTCATCTGCCTTTTTTATTGTATTTTGTTGTTTAGTGAGACATTTAATATGCTTTTTTACTTGTGTTTTTTTAAGGTCTTAATGTCTTACAGAAAGTTATTTTACTACAGCAAAAATCTGTAAAACACTACAGGTCCATAGGGTGACTAGTTTTCCACTTCCCTCCAACAAAGAGGGAGAGTCCATACACTTCCTTTTCTGATTTCTTAATTTGTGCATCCTTGATGAGTCTCCTTACATTGCTCACTTAGTCTTTCGCACAAGAGATAGGACAGGAGAAGGAACAAGGAGAGAGGAGAGGAGGAAACAGGAGTTTAACAAACAAAAAACCCATTCAACCTTCATTTTAAAGCAATGTCAATTAAACAGATGAATTATAAGTCGACTTGTTAGCTTTGTTTATTTGCATCAACAAGGCGATTCCCAAAGAGCTAATAGCTGAAAACTTGGTATATATCTGCACAGTGTCCACTGTGGCCTGAGCGATGCATTTGGCTTCAGTTGACCTGTGTCTCATCAGAAATTGTCTCAGTGGAAGGCTGGCTGTCAACAAACCATTCTTCAGGAAGGGAAATGGATAGAAAAGACTGAGGTGTGCCAAATTACACAAGAAATGGACTGAAATAGTGCCAACAGGTGTTATGAAGTGCAAATAGTCATACGTATTGAAGAGGGCATCTGAAAGGTACAACAGTATGGTGGAGGTTTTGTCGTGGTATAGGACTACGTTTCAGTCTTTGGTGTTGGTAACTTTGTCAAAAGTGATTGAATTACAAATGCAGAAAAGTACCATCTTGCAGTACCACCTGGAAAGCATCTGATTGGCCTAAAACTCTTCCTAAAAACACTACTGAAGTCCTCTTCACTGTTCTGCATGCGCAACATTTCTATCAGTGAAACTACGCTGTGAGTAACTGTGATGGGCTGCGGCTAGGCTGTTGGCATGTTGGTTTGCTGGAGCCTTACGTGTCCATGAGAGCATCATCTCTAACCTGGTTGTTCTTGTCAAAAATCTGACTGCACAGAGGTGCTGAGATGACCAGTACATGTGCTGTTCTTGCAGTAGCTAAAATAGCTCTGCAGCTGTTTCAGCAGGGCATTGCCTGACCCAACACAACCAGAGGAATGCAGGACTTTCTAGATCAGAAGCATATCCAGACACATCCTATTACACATATTAGCCTGATTGTATATACATATGTCGTAGTGTTGGTCTATAAAATATGCTTAAAACACAAACTTGCATTTCCTTTTTGACTAGTATATTTGGTTTGATTTGTCGATCCTACATTTTAGTTTTACTACAAAACAAAAACAATGTGAAGCATCTAAATATATATAATATTTCTATGCTGCAGGTGTAGGTGCCTCATGTCCCATTGAGTTGAGCCCCTCCAGTGTTGTGGTGCGGTATGGAGACCCAGTTTCAGTCAACTGCACCGCAACAGTGAGCCATGATGGAATGGGTTGGGAGGCTTCAGTTGGAGGGATAGGGATTACAGAGGTCAACCATTTGCCCTGGAATGTGGAGAGTTTAACAGTATGGGGCATCTCTGCTCTTTGCTTTATTAACACTAATGAGCAGTGCCAGAAAAATCTGAACATCGTTGTTTACAGTAAGTCCTGGTTGTTGTGCGTATATTATCACAATTATATTATGATAACTCTAATAACTCTGGTATCTAATAACTCCTTTCTTTTTCTCAGCATTTCCAGAAAAAATCCAAATCAACTCCACCGCTGACTCCAATGGTATGATGGTAGAAGGGGAGGAATATAACATTACTTGTGAAATCCCCAAAATAGCACCAGTCCAAAATCTTACTGTAAAGTGGTACAATGGAGACAGAATCATTGAATCAGATGTCTTAGAAATCATTGAACCAAATAACTTAAAAAATACTAAACAACCAGTGAAACTTTTATCTACCTTCCCGTTTACACCAACTCGAAACGACAGCGGTGCCAGGTTCAGATGTGAGGCACAGATGGACCTGAGCCCAGTAGGACCACATTTGAATGTATCGTCACAGGAGCTTACTATTACAGTTGTCTGTAAGTTTGAGCTTATTTGTTTGTAATTCACATAAAATACAATTCTGTCTCAGATAGTATTTGTGACTATTATGTTTACCTGGCAAGATGGTATATGTCTGAAAGAAGGATAAAACATTACATTGTAACAAATGGTTGGTGCTTTTGCTTCTTTTCAGTTGGACCAGATGTACAGTGTTCCAATATTATTGAGCTAATGGAAAATGAATCTTTGGAGGAGAATTGCAATATAGCAGGAAATCCCACCCCCTCGGTTAAATGGCTGAAAGATGGACAACCCTTCAACTCAACCACTCCGATGAGAAGGGAAAATGCAGGGATGTACACACTTCAAGCTAATGGCTCACTCTCTGTCCAAAAGAACATCCAGGTTCATGTGTTATGTGAGTGTCACATCCACTTTTATGACAAACTAACAAAACTAATACTACATTTGAACATTATACATTTAAAAATAGCAGAAATTGCTGGATGCACAAAGTGGAAGAAGTGCTCAAGTCCTAACTGAGAGTAGCTGTCACTGTTTTAATCAAATGACTCAAACTTACAACACAGTACGCAGGTTTAAAGGTTTTAACAGAGTCTTGGGAAACAAGAGCATTGAATTTCAAAGGAAGCCTGGCTACTTAATCAGGTGAAAGTCTCCGGACTGTCACTTTATCTGTTCACATGCTGGGATGAAACACAGGTGAATATTCAAAAATGATCTCTTAAAATGTTTCTCTTAGTTCTGGTTAGTGTCAGTCAGGCCAAACTGCGACTGGAGCAGTATCTCTGTCTTCCAGCAGATAAATTCCTTTGAAGGACAAAAACTCAGTGTCATACTCAGCTGTGTGGGAGGATATTGTGGACATAAATGCAGGAGGCAGGACCTTGACTCGAAGCAAAACTTTTAATGCTGACTAGACCAAAGAAAACACAGAAAGACCAAAGTTCAGGAAAAACAAGGAAACCATGCCAGACAATCCAAAAGCCATAAATAATTGGGAAATAAATATTCTCAGGGCATTACAGAGCTGGAAGACAAACAACTATGAGGGTCAAAGCAACAAAGAACAAGGAGAGACTCAGACAATATACAATGTAATACAAGAAGGTGAAGAGGGTTAACATGACAAAAGGGAAAGGGAGTAGGACAGGACAGTGTAGGAAGGCAAAAAAAAAGACAAAGCAGAAAGATGACATGAATGGAAACTACAAGGGAACTAACTAAAGGACAAGCTGAGAGTAACAAAGTTAAGAACAGAAGACTCAAACAGCAAGACTGAAATATAAACCATGAAGAGCCTATATAAAGCAGAAGATAAACAAGAATTGTAAATACAAGGGAAGAATAACAAAAAACTCAAAACCAAGGGTCCCAAACCCAGGGAGGACCACACTGAGTGTTTGTCCTTTTCCTTTGTCCTTTCCTTTTCAGACGGACCAGAGTTGAACTGCCCAAGCATTTACATGGCAGAGGAACATACTCCTCACAATCTCACCTGTACTGTTGAGGGCTTTCCTGAACCTGTCATGGTCTGGTACAGAGATGATGAGGTGGTGGAACTTCCAAAGACGTTGACGAGACTTGATGCAGGACATTACTTGATCACAGCTTCAAACAATCAGTCAAACGTTAACGCCACTGTGGAAATTATTGTTCACTGTAAGTCTTTCAGACACACGTCAAGCGAGAGTGATTACATACGTATATTTTACTCCTTTTTGTCTTAAATGAAATTATTGTCTTTAGATCAACCATCAGAGATATTTGAGCTTCAAGACCTTGAAGTCCACATTGGTTCCACTGTGGAGCTGAAGTGCTCCTCCAGTGGAAACCCACGACCAACGTATACCTGGAATTATTACCAGACTGACAATGTGATGGAGGAAAATGAAGATGGAGTATCCCGTTTGGAGATTCACAGCGCTACTGCATACAACATGGGTACCTACACGTGCCATGCATGGAACAACAAGGGAAGAATTTCCAGAACAATCAAAGTGACAGTTATAGGTAGGTGAACTGCAGTACACAGTATGCAACATAATCGATCTACCAATTATAGCCTGCTTAGATAATGTCCTGGAAAGAGTGATAAAGTATCATGGATTGTGTGTAATATGAGAGCATTAATAAAAACCAGCTGATCCGCACGCTTTTTGGCTTTTGAGTCTAAATCGAGAAGTATCGATTTACAGCTTCTCACCATTACCACTACTGATGTGTTGTTCAAACCAAATCGGGAAGAAGGGTGATGTAAGTGACTTTAAATGAAGCCTGGTTATTGGTTCAGTTTTCGAGAATTTTTAAAAACTGCTGATTGACTTGCTGATAAAAAATATATATACCTCAGTTCAGATCACATTTTACCTTATATTAAGAGTAATTTGGCTAAGTAAATGTGACACATTTAACTGATATGTGTTGCAGGTGCAGTCCACCCCAAATAATTCTTTGAGCTAGGGAGGGGTGTATCCTTCCTGGGATCTTTTCCTGTTGCCTCCAAAGAAACAGCTTAAAGACCTTTCCTTTCATTTCACTACAGTGCTGGATGTGGAAATCTTGCATTATTGTAATGAAGGAATGTAGATTTGGACTGAAATAACATTTCTCACTCCCACCCTTCCTTCTGCAGGTGCTGAGCAAGAATGCCCACTTGAAATAACTCCAAATCCAATGGTGCTTGAGTACAGAAGCAGAGCGCAGGGTGCAACGTGCAGCTCAACATCCGCCATCTCCACAAATGTCAAGAGAATGTACTGGGAGGGTGTAGAATCTGATAATATGACTTGGTTTACTAACACCAATGAAGACTGGGGGATGACGCCAGTTTGCACTGCAACATTTCAAGGAATAGGAAAATGCCAAAAATCATTGAACTTTACTCTTTACAGTAAGTATTCTCAACCCGAGCTGGCAAAAATACAGACATCCTGTACTTGAGTAGAACTACACATCCTTGTGTTAAAAAATACTCTGGTAAAAGTACTGTTTTAAACTTCTTTACTAAAGTAAATGGGAAAAGGTACAGACTCAGAATGTACTCAAAGTAAGAACGTATTGAGTAGTACCTTGTGCTATATTAATGTAATAAAATTGTAGTATATGGGAATAGAATATTTTCAGTCTTCAGTTATTTCAGTCTAAATTTTATTCTAATGATTGTTCTCAGCATGACTCAGTAATGAGCATAGGAAAAAATGATTTTTTGAAAGAGCTCTATCTTCTGTTTCCTACATTGTAGAGGATAACTTTGCCTCCACACATAAACAGGAAACACAGTCAGAGGTTAAAGAGAGATTCAGCAAAACACCTGCCCACTTTATCCACTATTAGTATGCCTTTTGTGTATTACAGTTTAGGATCAAATTGATTTAATGTTTAAAAGCACAAAGTGATGTGAAATAATATCTCAACTTGAATGTGTTAAACCAAACGTAACAAGGTTGTTTTGAAAACATAAGGAATGGAAAGTATAGACAGCTGTCAGAAAAATACTCAGTATTGAACACTCAAGCAAAGTACAGATACCTGAGAATTATTTGTGCTTTGTTACTTTCCACCTCTATTCACAACAATTTTCATACTTTTGCTGCCTTCAAATTTGAATCTTAAATTGTGTTACTCTGCTCTTTCCTCTCCCAACAACTCTCCACTGTAGAAAAACCAGACAGTGTTTCCATTTACCACGTGCGTCGCTTGAGCTCTGTGGAAGAGGGCAAAGAGTTCCAGCTGCGGTGTGACATTGTCAGCATCGCTCCAGCACAAAACGTCACTGTGTTGTGGTACAAAAATCAAGGTGAGGAGCTTTTCTGTAAATATTATAGACGTACTGTGTGAGACTTGCAATACAACACAATACAGTGCTTTGAGAGTCTTTCTAGTGTCCAGCAGTGGACAACGCCACTGGATGCAAAAGAAAGATTGATCATAGAAAGAGAAAATTACGCTACCTTCACCTCCACCATATATAATAATGATGATTTAAATCAAAAGGATCCAATTTGAGTTCATCAATCTATAAGACATCTTGCCTCTGATTTTCAGTCCAGTTCTCATGTAATTTGAAGACGACTTCTGATGAGGCTTCAGCGAACATTAAATGGATGATAAACCTGTAAATGTTAGTTAAACCAACCAGTGCACTTATATAGAAAAAACAAAGTGCCTTAAGATCTAATTAAAAAGTGATTCTTGTATAGGTTTTCTGCTATGTGTACACACAACACTAGTTCATCCCTTCAGTTAGGTGTCTTTAATATGGTTGAGTGGTTCATCAGCTAGTGTTAAGATGTTTAACAAAGTGGTCATATTACAATGAGTTGACTGAAAATGAGTGAAAAAAGTAGCCAATAGCAAAAGAAAAAGCCTTTAAAAGACCTTCACAAAGCCTGTAGTAGAACTATTGTTCAAGACCGCTTTAAAACTCATTGCTTCTTATAAACTAAATATAAAGAAATAAGGAGTGGCTCAAGATCTTCTCACAGTACTGTAAGTTATGCTTAACTTCTGTTGTGTCTCCCGCTCATACATAAACAAGTAGAAATGTCAGCTTTTGTCTTTTTATTTTCTTATTTTCTGTCAGACATACTGAAAGAAACTGGCTGTCAGCTTGAAAACAACAAAACCTGCAAACTCAGTGATGTCAGATCCCCGGTAAATGTTTCTGCCACGATTAATGTCAACCTGCAAAGGAAAGACGACGAAGTGGTGTTCAGATGTGAGGCTCGGCTAAACCTGAGATTAAATCCTCTTCCGACTACAACATCCAGCACCCTTAAGATCACTGTCCTGTGTAAGATCCCACTTCATATTCACTTTTCCCTATTAGGGGAAGCTACCATTCCTTTTGTTATGTTGAACATATACTGTTACTCTCTTAAGTGTTTATGTTAAAAGTAGTGAAATGTTCAGACAAAGATGTAAAGATATTTAAAAGTACACCATTTGACTCTTTGCTCTGAACATCAGATTTCTAAAATTTGTCTTTCTATTGTGTCACTGTCATATCAGTTTATGAAAGATTTCCTTATATAGTCAACTGCTCCAGGCATAGCACATCTTTAAAGTCAAACAATAATCTTGCTAGTGCATATAGATTACAGCATGTAATTAAAAGACTAAATCCATCATTATCTATAACAATATGAAGGTAAAGATAATGTAATTACAAAACAGAGACACCCTGCTTTAACCTTGTTGCAGATATTTGTGCTATTCACTCTTTCCATTTAAATTTACTATTCTTAACATTGGTGTACGGATGAGTTTTAAACAGCATATTTGTTTATTTTGGGTGGTATTGCTTGAATACTCAGTGTTTGACATTATTCTGTTTACCTTTGTGTCACAACAGATAAGCCCAAAATTAATACCACAAAGCTTCCAAAAGAAATCCCCGTGTTCAGAGGCTACTCTGAGGAGCTTGTTTGTGAAGCAGAAGGTTACCCAATCCCAAAGATCCAGTGGCACTACAACCCAGAGTCCCATGTGAATGTGTCTAAAGGAAAACTTACTGTGTCTGAGCCGGGCATCTACAACTGCACTGCCAGCAATGACGTTGGTTCTGCATCACATGTGGTTGAAGTGATTTTAAAAGGTAACACACTTTTAACACACAGATTTTTCACCTTATGCACCTTTTCTGTACATTTTTACATGTATGTGTTTCTGGATGAACTTAAAGCCAAACAATCAGAGGGTTCCACTGCTGTTAGCCAAGACAATAAAAATATAAGACTGCCCTAGATGTTTTATTAAAAAGTCACGGCTCTTTACATGAGGAGTACAGTGGATTCACGAGGGCAGTGGAAACAACTAGGTAACAAGAAAAATGGTGAACTAGGTAGGGAAAGTAAAAATTGAGTGAGTTCCATTTCTAGGTTCTTATCTGTGACTAAAGAACCTAACATTCTTAAATATAACACAGAAGGGGAGAAGGCTATGAAAATACCACAACAAAATTTACAAAATAAACCCTAGGCAGAATACTAATAGAAATGAAAAGGAGCTGAAATAAATACTAAGGAATATAAAAATCAAATATAAGCAATAAACTTGGAAAAAAAAACTTCAGTTTCAATTCAATTCAGTTCAAATTTATTTATACAGCGCTAAATCACAACAACAGTCGCCTTAAGGCACTTTGTATTGTAAGGTAGACCCTACAATAATACATACAGAGAAAAAAAAAACAATCATATAACCCCATATGAGCAAGCACTTTGGTGACAGTGGGAAGGAAAAACTCCCTTTTAACAGGAAGAGGTCTCCAGGTGACCCCAGGTCCATTATTGTCATGACAACAATGCTTTTTATTAAATCCTTCAACATGCAGACTGGAGGGACTTGGCACTGTTTCTGATTAGTAGTACTTCCTGATTCACAGCCATCCATCCTCTTAAAGGGCCTGTTTTTTTGAAGTCACATCTTGAAGTCATTCACTGAACATCTGCCTCTATTTTGGCTGTTTCCAAAATAGAGGCATATCTGACTCTAAAAAAGAGGAAACTGCACACTCATATGGCAGTGACTTATCAGTCACAAGAGCTATGTCCTACAAAATTTCCTATTTTATGTAAGCATAATTTGCAAAATATCCCCCCTGTAAATAAAACTGTATTAAATAAAACTTGAAACTACTAACTGAGATTATAAAATCTACAATGTCGAAGGTATATATGCACCAGCTTCACTTTTAAACCAATGGGGTTATGTCTGTCTTACAGTCATGGTAAAAAGAAATGCTCTCTTTAAATACAGTATAAATACAGTCTATGGATTTTGCAGTATGCACTGGTTCACTGCTGCTGGTGACATTAGGGAATGGGTAATGATTTGTGCATGTGATGTTTCTAACACCATCATAGTAACATAATAACCATAACAATAACCATAATACACTTGTTACAGTTTTCTTTCTGTTTCTGTTGCTGAAAACATTACTTTGAATGGACATTTAAGGAATTCTAAAGCATTAAATCTTATTGATATTTTATTATTTTATTTCCAGCCCCACAATTTCTGGGTGAATATGATCTATAACTTCTCACCTAAAATGCTTTCAAACTTCACCGGTATTACTACTACTACTGCACATCTTTACTTATACTTTAGCTTTTATTTTGTATGTGTATTTGCTGACCTCTTTAAATAGTAGAGTTACATATAGAGTAAAAATGTTACATTTCTATTGTTGCACACTGAAGTGTTTCCTGTTTGACTGTCTTCATTGCAGAGGACTACCTACCTCTCATCGCTGGATTTGTGGCTCTTGCAGTTGTAGCCATCAGCATTGTCTTCCTCTTAATCTACTCAGTCTACTACAAGAACACCAAAATGCGCCACTACAACTTTAAAAACCCCAAATTTAGCGAGCACAATGGGAATGTAGCTCACAGCAACGGCGACCTGCAGTTCCCTATGACCAGACTTTCAACGCAGTACATCTCTGCGTAGTAAAGAACAGACTGCTGAGCAATCTGAATTGGCTGCAGTTAACAGTGTTTTTAAAGTATGATTACCACTTCGACAAAGATCTATTCATTCAAATATCACGCAACCTTCTACTGCATATCGATTTTCCAATACATCATAATCAAAGGTGTAGTCCTATTTGTCTAAGTAACATTGTGCATCGGTTACGACAAAAGCTTTTTCACTGCAGAAGCAAATTTACATTATTCAACTACAACTGAGCAATAGTGATCAATGCCAGCCTGACCTTAGTAATATAAAACTCATCTCTCTAATCCCTTTCACCAGTTCTTACATGCTGCTTACAGCTCTTTCCTTTCTGGATGTGTCTTCTTAATTTTCCATACTGTCTGTTTGATAGTTGCCCGCTCTCTCTCAAACTTGCCTCTCTCCCTCATGTAATCTGTGGTGAATTTTGCACCACTTTTCACACATTTAATCTCAGGGTTATGAACATATCTGACTGCTAGTTTCTGAAGCCCTAATTTGCCCTTGCCGTGTAATTATTGAAATGAATGTAATTATTGTAATGTATGTAATTTGGGGCATGGTTAGATCACCCAAAGCTTTCTTTCCCATGAGCACATTTTAGTGAACGCATCATCACGGTAATTTGCTCTGGTGCTTTCAGTCACAAAACTGACACTCTGTCTCTTCGGTAAACTCTAGCAGAGCCTTTCTGACCTCAAAAGAAGGTTTTGTGATGGCACAGGTCGTTACTAAATCTGGCCCTAGATGTCAAGATGACATTGTTGACCAATTACTTTGTTGTCTTTTAACTAAAACTCTTAAAGTGACAGCTATATTTTGAATGATTAAGCTAAGTGGATGTTTTATTTCCTGTCTTGGAGAAACAAAATGTTGGGCATGACTCTGGACTACACCTCTGATTATAATAGTGTTTCATCCTTAAGAGAGTAATGCTAGGTGCAACCACAGTTCCATGAGTCTAATCATTTAAAGAAAAAAATAGCATCAACCATACTTGATTTAAATTTGACAGGGTCTCTCCATGTTCCCCTCTTCCTTCCATGAAAGTTTTGTTCTCACCACTCCACTCACAAAACTGTAATTTCACTGTGAATCCTAAACTTGAGCACTCATCAGCTTCACTCACAAACTAACGTGACATCATATCCACAATTATCACTGGTCATTAGAGCTATGTGAGCACACTGAATACTGTTTTTGTGTATCACTAATTCAATCTTTATTTACCAAACAACCCACAACATTTCAACAGTTTATTCTTTCAACTCGTAAATGAGGCTCAGTCAAATTTTAATCAAGGGGTTTTTTTGTAACTTGATTGCACCTACCATATTTACACAAGTGTGTATCTACTACTGGATTCTTGCCAGTTTTCACTGGATAGAAATATGTGAAGGAGTGATAAGTTTGCTTCTGACTTGAAAGTAGAACCTTTCCTAATTTAATGAGCACAAAGATATTTGATGTTTTTATTTTTTGTTTTTTTCATGGTTCTTTTTCCTTCTTAAGGTTTCAAATCAGTATGCTTCAAGCTGAAATTCAAAATATATATATATATCAATTACACCGTCTTGTCACCAGGTGCATTTCACAGGGAGATTTGGTACATAATTTTTTTTTTTTAAACATCTCTGCAGAGCTCAGCAGTGCACACACACACAGACACACATGCAGCAATTTCATTTTTTAACTTCCCTTTATCACAGTCATACATATCATATAAAAATGTCAGTCAAAATGTAGCTGTTAATGTGACTGTGTTATGTAATCAAAATGTGCAGAGATGCTCTAACAATGTACCAATCTCCATGTGAAATTTAACAGGTGAGGACCTACAAGCATTACAGTACTTCAGTGTATACCATGTATTGAGCCAACTGTTGTTTCAGTCATAACTTCCTATAAGTCACTCTGCATTCCTTTCTACATATGTAGCCTTTTCTGTGCCTGGTTCTTTCTATGCCAAAATCTAAAAGGTCTCTCATTATGGGACAAATTGTCCTGTTCCACAGATGAGTGACCACAGGCACTGCTACCCCAGTGTCTATATGAGCTGTATGTAAATGCATATATATATATATATATATATATTTATTTATTTTTTCTTTTTTTTTCCTTTTAAGAAAACGTAAAGACTATTTAATGTATTATGAAAATGGACTGCATGGCGATATGATGGCATTGCAAATTATTGAAGGGTTAATGGAGTTCAAAGCCTTTTTGTGAAGGGTGAGGAGACCTTTATAACACATATGTATATACTGTTGTAAATATTTGTGACTGAGGAAAAAATAAGTATTTTCTTATTAAAATGATCACTTTTTAAACATGTTGTTGCTATTTATATGCATGTACAGCGAGTATGGCATATTGAAGAAAACTGATGGTTTCAGTTCAATTCAGTTTTATTTATATTGCACAAAATCATTACAACAGTCGCTGCAAGGCGCTTTATACCATAAAGTAAAGACCCTACAATAATACAATAATACCCCTTTCAAGCAAGCACTTGGCGACAGTGTGGAGAAAAAACGCCCTTTTAAGCAGAAGTAACCTCCAGCAGAACCAGACTCAGGGAGGTGCAGCCATCTGCTGCAACCAGTTGAGGGTGATGGGAGAAGGCTAGGAAAGGAAGGTGGAAAGTTCCAACAAAGGAAAACAGTAAATAGGGTTTTAAAACTCTTTACAAATAATTAAGAATGGCTGTTGAAAACTAAAGGAAAAAAAAGAAAACTAAAATCAAAAGAAAATTGATGGCTAAATACCAACATTAGCATGTCTTATTTAAATGATAATAATGTGATGAAATACTAACGTCTTGATGCATTCTCAATCATCCAAAAGTTGATTCTGTTCATCTGGACGTAGCGTTTTGTGGGAGAAACGTTTCGTCACTCATCCAAGTGACTTCTTCAGTCTCAGCTGACTGCAGGTTTCCCCAAATCCAACTTTACTCGTAACCCGGAAGCTCTCCCCACACACAGCCTTATGGGAACAGTAGTCTACCGCTACACTTATAAACAGTACATTTGCATAATTACTGAAGTCATTATGCAAATGTACTGTTCATAAGATTTGGGGAAACCTGCAGTCAGCTGAGACTGAAGAAGTCACTTGGATGAGTGACGAAACGTTTCTCCCACAAAACGCTACGTCCAGATGAACAGAATCAACTTTTGGTGATGAAATACTAAGTTCTGAATCGAAAAGGGAGTCCTACCCAGTACTAAACAAGGTGTACCTAATATACTGACCAGTGAGTCTAGTATGACTGTGACTAAAAAGATTACATTACTCCATACAAGCTACCCAACACGAATCCATCTACTTTTATCTAATCCACTTCAAAGATCTACTTTTTTCCTCTGCATTTATGTTTACTGACTCTCTGCATCAAAGAGCCACTTGTGTCACTTAATGCATCACTTTAAATGAACCTTTTCTTGTCTTTACACTAAATGTTGCTACTTTACATTTTAACTAACTGCATTGTCTTTGTCACTTTAAACTGTGATTTATTAGCACTGCTGCAGTGTTTTCTTAGTCAGGGGTAGTGAGTGCACTCAGTGTCTCTCTGTGCCCACTGTTGGGGGAGGGACAGTTTCCTCCCCGGTAACTGCTGGGAGCTGGGAGCGGCGTGCTGCTGTCAGCTGTAGCTTAGCTTAGCTTTCTCCTAAAAAAGTCAACAAGTCGCCGCTGGTTTACTTAGCAGCTGAGCTGAAGCGATATACACTCCAGCTCACTGTAAGAGAAAGGAAAGCCAAGGAAAAGGAGCGGCAGCTGTTGGAATAAGAGACTCAGAAAGTTTACTCTAATGGATTATTTGAGCTTTCTTCGTCTTCTTTCAGCCCTTTTGACAGTAGAGCTGTTATCGCTTTCTAACGGGGCAGAAACCAGTAAGTAAGAAACACTTGAGAGCTCATGTTTTCTTTGCTGTTGACATGGAAATAACAGAGGCTAAGGGTTCCATCCCTGCGTGCTTTGGAGTTTGCCTATAGCAAAAAGGGAGTGTTTAAAAAGTTGGGAAAGTGTGAATGAAGTTTTTAGTGAAATCCTTTATTTATCCAGGAAAAAGTTTCACTGAGTCTAGTTTTCAAGAGAGGCATGTACAGGAAGCCTATTCCTAAACGATTAAATGGGAGACAAAAAATGACAAAAGTGGGAAAATTAGTGACTTTTATTGTTGGGGTTATAAGGATCTTCTGTATATTTACATTTTCCCCCAACAATCTGTTTATTGTAGATGCATGGTTAAAAGATATATGTCTCAGGTGTCATAACATTGTACTTTGTAATACGTGGAAATGAACTGAGTTGAATGTGACGCATTTAACTGATATGTGTTGTTGGTATAGTCCTCCTCAAAGAATGGTGGGCAGCAAGTGCAGACTTCCCTGTGGGAGGGGTGTATCCTTCCTGAGTGTTTTCCTGTTGCCTACACAGGAACAGCTTAAAGAGCTTTCCTTTCATTGCTATTTCACTACAGCGCTGGATGTGGAAATCTTGCATTATTATATATAATGGAGGAATGTTGACTTGGACTTTTACTACCACTCATCTTTCTGCATGTGCTAAGCAAGAATGCCCATTTGAAATAACTCCAAACCCAATGGTGACTGAATACAGAAGCAGGGTGCAACATGCAGCTCAACATCCACAATCTCCACAAATGTCTAGAGAATATACTGGGAGGGCGTAGAATCTGATAATATAACTTGGTTTGCTAACACCAATGATGACTGGGTGGTAACGCTAGTTTGCACTGCAATATTTCCAAAACTACGAAAATGCAATAAATCATCGAAATGCACTCTTTACACTTTTACCACCTTCAAACTTGAATGTCAACTTTTGTTACTGTGCTTTCTTTCTGTTACTGTGATTCCCTCTCCCAACAACTCTTTACTGTAGAAAAACCAATCAGTGTTTCCATCAATCACGTGGATAACGTTACCTCCATGGAAGAGGGCAAAGAGTTCCAGCTGCGGTGTGACATTGTCAACATTGCACCGGGAAAAAAACCCACTGTTTTGTGGTACAAAAATCAAGGTGAAGAACTTTTTTTGTAAATGTTATAGCTTACGCCAGGTTTCTTTGTCTGTATTATGCTGGGGGAGTGAGAAATGGGTACAGACGAACGTGAAAATGCAAGACATAAGGCAAAAACTGAGTTTATACAATTCCAAGTTTAATTATTATATCCATATTTGTTAGGACCTCTTTAATTCTTCAATACAACCCAAACTTTCTTGGGGAAGCTTGTAGTTTCTTTAAATAGTCTTGAGAAATAGATCTCCAGGCTTCTTGAAAGACATTCAAAGCTCTTTTTTTAAATATTAGTAGCCTTTTGTTCTGTTCTTTGTCAAGATCCCACACTGCTTTGATAATGTTGAGGTTCGGGTTCTGGGGAGGCCAATCCATGACTGTTTCATTGTTTGTTTTTCTATCCAGGTATGCGTTTATTGTGTTGGCAGTGTGTTTGGGATCATTGTCATACTGAAAAATGAAGCATCTGCCAATCAGCCACTTTGCAGATGGTATTGCATAGTGGATGATGGTACTTTTCTGTGTTCATAATTCCATCAGTTTTGACAAGATTCCAAACACCACTGGCTGAAATGCAAACACTTACTGCATGTCTCTCCTGACCTTCTCCATGCATATAGATGAAGATTTGAACCCAAAATTTTTCATTTTGATTCATCAATCCATAAGACCTGTTGCCACTGATTTTCAGTTCAATTGCTATAATTTGGCAGCTGTTTTTGCATGTTGTCCTCCACTGGTCCAGTATTGCCTTACATTTCTTTAAAGACACACAGCACACCAAAGTCTCAAGATAGTGGTTCCCTGGGAATTACTTGATTGATGCAACAATTCTATTTTATGCCTGTAAAACTGTGTTATCTTTGGCATTTTTATGAAATAAAAATACAACAAAATTTGTGTTTGCAACAGGATGCTTGATTCTTGCAACGTTTTCTGTTATGTATAGACACAACACTGATTCATTACTTGAGTTAAGTATTAAGACATTTAGCAAGCAAAGAAAAAATTCCTCTGAAAATGGTTAGGTAGGAGTGGACTGAATAAGTGAAGGTAATAGCCAATATCCAAAGAAAAACCTTGGAAAGACCTCCAGAAAGTGTGGGGAACTATTGTTCGAGATCATTTTAAAATATTACAAGAAAGTCAGGCAAAATGTAAAGAAATAAGGTGTTGCTTGAGACTTTTTCACGGTACTGCAAGTCATGCTTCATTTCTGTTATGTCTCCGACTGATATGCAATCAGGTGGAAATGTCAGCTTTTGTCTTTTTGTTGTCTTATTTTCTGTCAGACATACTGAAAGAAACTGATTGTCAGCTTGAAAACAACAAAACCTGCAAATTCAGTGATGTCAGATCCCCGGTAAATGTTTCTACCACGATTAATGTCAATCTGCAAAGGAACGACAGCGGAGCGGAGTTCAGATGTGAGGCTCTGTTAGAAACGGGAGCAAACACCCCTCAAAATACAACATCCAGCACTCTTAAGATCACTGTCCTGTGTAAGATCCTATTTTCATATTCACTTTTCCCAATTAAGAGGAATCTACCATTCCTTTTGTTATGTTGAACATATACTGTTTTTAAGTGTTTATATTAAATGTCGTGAAATATTCAAATAAAGAGGTAAAGATATTTAAAAGTACACAATTTGAACAAAAAGTTCCACTTTGGGATTCTTTGCTCTGAATACCCAATTTCTAAAAAAATTTTCATGCTATTCATTCTTATATTCTCAATTGGATTCATCTCAGAGGTGTACAGATGGGTTTGAAAATATGCTATTCAAATTGTAACGCATTGTTTGTTTTTCATGGTATTGCTTGAATACTCATTGTCTTGACATTACTGTATTTACCTCTTTGTCACAACAGATAAGCCCAAAATTAATACCACAAAGCTTCCAAAAGAAATCCCCGTGTTCAGAGGCTACCCTGAGGAGCTTGTTTGTGAAGCAGATGGTAACCCAACCCCAAAGATCAAGTGGGGCTACAACCCAGAGTCTCATGTGAATGTGTCTAAAGGAAACCTCACTGTGTATGGGCCTGGCATCTACAACTGCACTGCCAGCAATGATGTTGGTTCTGCATCATATGAGGTTAAAGTGATTCTAAAAGGTAATACATTTCTGTACTACATGTTTCTGCAGAAACATAAAGCTGAAGTTCTGCAAAAGCATGAATATAAGGCTGTCCTAGACTGTATATAAAAGATGGACATGGCCAATGTGGCATTTCCCATGTAAATGGTAAATGGTACTTATGTATTGCTCTATTTGAGAACTTTTACTACAAGTCACCCAATCACACACACATTCATATGTCTGTCATATTTTGGAGTGTAACAGATCCAAATGGAATATGGATAAAACGACAGATAAACAATGAGCACAATCACACAGAACACAGTACAATTCAACAAAGGACAAATAAAAAGACACAACTCTTTAGATGAGAACCACGGAGGGTTCGTGAGGGCAATTGAAACAACTAGGTAACAAGAAATAGGTGAAGATAATCAAGGCCAACCAGACAAGAGGAAGTAAAAATAAAAACAAGATACTGAAGACAAACAGTTAATAAAATAAAAAAGGAAGTCACTGACTAACATACAGACAAGACCCTAACATACTTTGAACTAATGAACTATGAAATACCACAAAATAATATACAAAAAACTAACACCAAATAATAAGTGCAAATAACTCACAATTTTGGGTTCAAGACCAAGGATCATAACAACAATGACCTGGGTTAACACAGGTTCAGTATCTTGTCCATGAATCCTTCAACATGCAGACTAGAGAAGCTAGGGACAATTCTTAAAGCCATGCACTGTTTCCTTTTTAAACCCATGGAATATGACTGTCTTATTCATGGTAAAAAGAAAATCCACTCTCTTTAAGTTCTCAGATTTCTTCATCAGAAAGAAGAGTGGGCGAGAATTCCCCCCAAATCACTTGCAAACAATTATTTAACTTATTGCTGCTAAAAGTGGTTGTCCAAGCTACTGAATCATCATAAGTACTTGGTTTTTGTTGAATAAATAATGATGCTGGTGTTCATCTCGGGCTTAATTCGTTTTAAGACCTTGTAAAGTCAAGGTGATATGATATGTAAAACCCTACAGCTTTCTTTTTACCATGACTGTATATTTAAGTATAATTGATGACTATGAGGGTCCCTTCATGCTCCAAAAACAACAGCTTCGGGAGGTGGTAGAGTGGTAAATGTGTAGCTAAAATATCTGCAGGAATTTAAAAAATTTCAATTTGCTGCTATAACTTTGCACTGTCCACGTTTTGCTGTGACACAACAAATTTCCCACATGTGGGACTAATAATCTTCTTATCTCTCTTATCTTTTAAATATGTTGGGGAGATCCGCCATGAAAATTTGAGGCTATGATCAAATACAGGATATATCCACAATAAGTTTGGAGTTCCTAATAAAGTGCTCAGTGACTCTATGATGCCCTATGTTAGTTTTCGTTCAGTTTCAGAAAACATTACATTGAATAGTAATTTCAATAGTAGTGCAGGAGGCTTCGAAGAACCTGGGCAGATCACCAGTTTCTCACAGGGAGACAGACAGCCATTCATACCCACACACCTGTGGACAGTTGCCAATTTTAAGGAAATATAAATCATAAAATGGACAATTTAGAATTACCAATTAACTTAACCACACTAACTGCATGTTTCTGGGCTGTGGGGGGGAAGCTGGAGTACCTCGAGAGAACCCAAGCAAACACAGAGAAAACATCCCAACTCCACAAAGAAAGGAGTGTGTGGAGATGGTAAATCATAAAATTATATTCCACAAATCTCTCTGTAAATATAACCTATAGCCTGTCACGTAGAACACACTAGAAACTTAAGGGGTACTACTACTTTGCAATTGATCTTCCTGCCCCAATACTTGGTCATTTTAAAAAATAAATTAGAAGCTATCAATCTTTATTTTTATTTGCACTTTTTAATTTTGCATGTTTGTTTGTTGACCCCATTAAATTATAGAGTAAAAAGTTTACATTTGTATTGTTGCACATAGGAAATGAACACCCTTGCATTGTTTCCCGTTTCACTGTCTATATTGCAGAGGACTACCTCCCTCTCATCGCTGGATTTGTGGCTGTCACTGTGGTAGCTATCTCCACCATCTTCATCTTCATCTACTCAATCTACTACAAGAACACCAAGATGCGCCACTACAGCCTTAAAAACCCCAAATTCAGCATGCACAATGGGAATGTAGCTCACAGCAATGGTGACCTGCAGTTCCCAATGACCCGACTATCAAAGCAGTACATCTGTATATAGCACAGAATAGACTGCTGAGCAATCTGAACGGTCTGCATCTCTCTGCCACCAGGGTTAACAGGTTTTTCTTGTTTTGTTTTTTATTGCTGTTGTTGTTGTTGTTGTTTTTTTAAGTCTGAATACCGAGCCAAATACAAAGAAAGACTATTCTGTCCTCCAAACGTCAATCACCCTGTTATTCTCACACAGATTTCCCCTTACATTATAATCAGAGGTGTAGTCCTATTTGTATAAGTAGCGCATCGATCACAGGCACACAGCCTTTAGAGTTATTTGTTTTTAAGGCTATATCACCAAAGTGGCAAGTTTAAATTATTCAACTATAACCATAACATGCTGCTTACAGCTCTCTCCTCCCTGGATGTGTCTTCTTTGTTTTCCATGCTTTCCTGTTTGATAGGAACAGTCTCTCTTTAACATTGGTGCCATCTCTCTTCCTCACTTATTCTCCAGTGAACTTTAAATTCTATAGTTGTTACATTGTAGGCACACAGCTGTGTGCAGTGCTTTTGGTATGTGCTGAAACTCTTCACCGAGTCTGCTCTAAATATGCAGAGTGAAGAGTCCCTTTCTACTCTGGTGTTTTTCTACACATCATACGTGTCATCTTTTCCACACAGATTTTAGGTTTATACTGTAGAGTAGTTTGGCCCTAGATAGCCCAGCTTTGATTACTTTTTTTAAACTTTGTTCCATGAAATATTGTTGACGTGACAACTGAATTTCGACCGATTAAGCTAACTGTGAATATGTTGTTTCCTCTCTGGTGGGAAAAAAAGAGGTGGGGACTATACCTGCAATTGTAAGTGTTTTATCCATAAGGCAGTAATACTAGGTGTAATCACAAATTTCCTTGATTTGAATAATTTAAAGAAAAAATAATGAAAACCATACTTGATTTAAATTTGGCAGGGTCTCTTTAAGGTCCTCTGCTTGTTAACATGTTCACCACTTCCATCATGGCTCCTGTTTTTAGATCCTTCAATGAAAGATCAGTTCTCACTACTCGACTCACAAAACTATAATTTCACTGTGAATCCTAAACTTGAGCAAATATCAGCTACATTGACGAACTGATGTGACTTCATATCCATGATTAACACTGATAATTAGATCCGTGTCTCACGAGTCCAAGCCCAAAGGCTGAGCTAAGGTAAGGACTATGTGGAGTCACCACACAGCACATTGAATGCTTTTTTTGTGCCACCAAACAAAACACAAGACTTATCTCTCGGGGCCTTGCTTCATCCTTTTCCTATAAAGAAAGTAGTCAGAATGTGATTTACATTCAGTGATCTGAAAATAGCAGCCACACTGGAAGCAGTTTGGTTTTAAGGAAACAACAAAATAAAGTGAGGGTCAGAAACATTTAAATCAGGTTTTTGATTTATTTTTTTATTTTTATTGTAGCTTTTACTCTTTGTGACTGTTATTGCACCTGGTGTAGTTACACAAATGAGCAACCTCGGCTTGAGATGTACAAGTCTGTCTATACTACTGGATTCTTACCAGTTTTCACTGGATAGAAAGAAGTGAAGGAGCAATCCAACTCGAAGGTGAAAAATTTTCCCATTTTATTTTTTATATCTGATGCATGGTTGGTTTCACTAATGTTGATGTTTCTGTTAACCTTAAGACTTCAGATCAGAACCGTATGGGATTTTTCACGTCTTTAGGACATTGTGAATCTCAGACTGCTGTCCTTTAAACTGTTAAACTCACGGGAAATGCAAAGCTTTTATAAACTGCTTTTACTTATTGCCTGCCCTGCCAGCAGTGCACACACAGCAGTTTTCTTATTTAACCTCACTCTTCAACGCATATCATATTGAATGTCTATATGAATTGTATATTCAGGGTAATATTTGATGTAAATCCAAAAGTTTATATTTATTTATGAGAAACAGTAAAGGCTGAATAATTTAGTGTTGAAAATGGACTGCGCACTGGTTAGTAATGCAAATTATTGAAGGGTTAATGGAGTTCAAATCCTTCGTGTGAAGGCTGAGGAGAACTTTATGACACATTTGTATATACTGCTGTAAATATTTCTGACTGGGGCAAAAGTGTATTTTGTTATTAAAAATGTCGCTTTTTAAAACATGCTGTTCCTATTTATATGCATGGAAACATCCAAGTATTATAGTGTAATAAAGAAAACTGAGGAGTTCAAGAAAGGACAATTTGGATATGTAGTTTTAAACCTTTTTTACAAGTAATTAAGAATGGCTGCTTTATTTGGTTATTGGCATGAATAAAATTAAAAAAGAAAATTGTATGCCTAAATACAGACTCAGTAACCCTAAGCATACCATTGTATTTAAATCATAACAATAATATTTTTGGGGGGGTAAAGGAGGAATAACAGTACAGTATTTATGCTTTACCTGAACCTGCAGCACAGCACAATACATATGGAAAAGCTCTGCTTTGTCCACCACACATATCTCTAAGAACATCAACTACAAGAACAAAAAGTTAATATCATTCTTTTGCCTTCCCCCATTTTTCAGAATGGTTCATTAGTGTGTTGAAGCATAGCATGTCCATCCTGTTACCCTTATTTATAAAATAAGCTGATATTTTATGTGTTTTGATGGTGGATGCACTATCAAATCCTTTTTGAAGTCTTCCTCTGCTAACCTGTTGTGGATCACATGGTTAATTGTGGCTGCTTTAAACATAAAACTGAGAATATTCTTTAGTGTATTTATATAATCCATGTATCACATTTTTTATACCGTATATATTTTGATATGTGGATCCCAAACATGTTGGGTAACGAGACTTTTCATGTAAAAGAAGACTATAAAATGTGTTTAAATGATCATTTCAAAATAGAATACAATGATTTGTTTTAATTATCCCTTACATGTAATATATGAGTTATATTTTAAAGCAGTCCAAATGTATACATACAGATAATTATAAGGATGGTGAGATCATTAAAATAAACAAGCATTTTACAAGAAACTGTAACAGTGAAAATTCCATGTTGTCTAAACGAATCAATGGGGTCTCTTGAATATAAATATATATAACTAAGTTCAAATGGTGGGCTGGTATATGTCCCATTTACATTGGTGCATACAATGTAAAACTAAGGAAAAATGTTCCAAAAGATTCCAAAAAATCTTGATTTTATTTTGAAAATATGCTCATGCTCTACATACTGGGTTCAGTACCGGTTTAGCATAGAGTATGTGAAGCATTCACAGGTGTGATGTCATCTCAGTTATCTTCTCTCCACCTTTTCTCCCTTTTTTGTTTTGCTCTTTCCTAAATAACTAACCAACTAAATAAAATAAAAAGATTTTAGTCATGTCATTTTATACATCATAAAAAATAAACATTAAAAAAAATATACTGTGTTACTACCTTCAATTTTGGTTTCAGTTTTGGTCACAGCTTGTGGGCAGAGCAGCAGGGGCGACACAGGTGTGTGACTAGCTGTATTCAGCCAGGTATAATTTATTTGTCATTTCTTTGAGAGCGTGTTGTCCTCTATGCTGAAACCATGATGTGGTTCTTCTTCTTCTTTGGCTTCTTAATCACGTGTACAGGTGAGTTTGTTATCTATCGTGTTTGTTTCTTTGTGATATAAAGTTACAATATTATGTCTCCGTTAATTTATAATTCATATCAGCTCTGTTAATGTACCATATAAAAATACTGCCATACTGTCTATGACCTTATATTTTTATATTTGATATTTGCTTTATTTCGCTTGATGGGTTTAGTTTCAGTTTTCGTGTGATTCTGTAGGTTAAGCGAAACTTGTAAATGATACAGCATACTTGTGAAACCTGTTAAACTTGTAATTCCTTGAAAGGTATGACAGAGTTACCAAGTGACAAACAAAAATCTTCTGTTCATAAAATATTTTCTTTTCTACTAAACGGCTTTTTTTCTCCTTCCTATAAACCACATTATCATCTACAGGAGAAACAAAGCATGGTCCCACAAAGCATCTTAAAACTTGATTTATGGGGCTATACTAATTAGACCAGCTTTCATTATTGTTCATCTAATTCATGTAATGTTGTTCATTAGATTGGGCATATTTCTGATGTCATGAGTAGGTAGTTTTAAGCTTCTAAAATTGATGTATTTTGGTGTAAAAAAAAAAAAATAGCCTCTGTTTGTGGCACCTGTTATGCTGTAGATACTGTCTGATCCACAGTCCTAAGGAAAATCTAGTATTCCAGTGTAGTTTGATGCTTAGTGTCTTTTTAAGAGGTTTTTAAAACCAACATATTCTGTTTTCATGAAAATGAAAAAAGACTCCTTTAAAACTTTCTGTCTGGGGCGTTAAAGAGGATGACTGTAGTTTTAGTTGTCTAATGTTTTTTTTTTTTACTAGAATGACAACAGGTTCAAGTGTTAATGCACAAAGTCAAGTGAGAGGAAAGAAAGCAGTGTTGGGTATGTTGTGATTTGGGAAAAGGTGTTGAAATATCAGTTTTTTGTTTTAAAATATTGAGTGGCTCATCCTTTAAGTGGAGATTCTTCAGTCCCCTGAACTGAGTACCAGCCATGTATGCATCGCTGTTTGTGCCATATGCCAAACTTAAGTCTACTTCTTCTCTAGGAAACCCTGCAAGTGCCTCCTGTCCATTACAAATTAGTCCCCCTAGAGTTGTGGTGAGACTTGAAGGCTCCTTGTCAGCCAACTGCACCTCACTATCTGACCAGATTGATGGAATGGGCTGGGAGTCTCCATATGGAGGATTGGACCTTACCCAGGGTGTCACTTCTCTTCTCTTTTCAATTGACTCTGTGCCAGTGTGGGAGTTAGAGCCAATGTGTTTTGTAAATCTCCATGATGGTGATCAGTGTGTAAAACTGTTACCAGTCACTGTTTATAGTAAGTAGCCTTAACTTTCTCATATATTTCCTAGAAAGGTGTTTTAATATTAGAACACTGAATGACATTAATTCATTTTATTTCTTCTACTTGCAGAAATGCCAGACAGTGTGTCATTGAGACAGAATTCAACTACAGTGAAAGAAGGTGAACAGTTTGCCATACAGTGTGACATTGTTAATGTTGCACCAGCAATAAATCTCTCTATGCTTTGGCACAAAGGAAATAAGATCTTAAATTCTGAGACATTTGATGACTCCAGTCCATCTCCCGTCAGTAAGTCATCTGTCCTCACTCTGACTGCTCATAGAGATGATGATGGAGCTGAGATCTGGTGTGAAGCAAAACTAAACTTGTGACCAGGAGAACAAGGTCCTGCCATGATGCGCTCAATGTCGCATAGTGTGACTGTACTCAGTGAGTTTTCATCACTTGTAAAAATATTACATATACAAGATAGTTTATTACAGACAGAGCAGAAAGACTGAGAAGATGAGCTGAGAGCGACAATGTTAACACATTTCCCATCTCCCACAGGGGCTCGAACAACCTTTGGAGTCATGCTGGCAATAGGTGTGGCCATTGGAGTTTTGCTCCTCATTGCTGTTGCATATTATGTGACACCCAATGGCACAATCTCTTTCCACAATTGTGGCTATCAACCAGGAACTCCCTCAGGATGAGTATAAGGTAAACCTTTATCTTCTTATAAAAATGCACATCTCTGCTATTATTATTATTTCTAATTATTTTATTTGGTGTTTGGAGAAAACATCTGTAACATGTCTGTTGATGGCCGACGGACATGTCTGCTCTGCGTGCTCTGTGGGTGTTCTTCTGTTCAAAGCTGTAGCTTTAAAAATGCACCTTAAAACACACATGCATCAACACTACAATGAGCGGGTGGAGGGAGGTTTGGAGTCTTCTCTCACCCCCATTCTCTGCGACCTGCTGGAGCAGGGGGGCTAGGAGGAGGAGTTGGCCGTCCAACTGCGGTCTGGAGTATGGAGCCTTCCTGCTGCTGCGGAGTCGGGGCGGTCTGCCTCCCCCCACCGCAGGGAAAAGGGAAACACCACCTGGGTCTGGGTGCAGTTCCCCCTTCCAGGGGCGGGGGCACCTAGACCCGGTTTGTAGAGTACGCTTGGGGAGTGTGATCGTGTGTACAGCGTCTCTTTATGTCTGTCTCCACGTTGGTTGAGTGTGGAGTAAGTGCATATGAGAGCATGAGGGTGGGAATGGATGTTTGTATCTGTGTGTGCCTGTATGTCTGTGTCTATATGTCAGATTGGGTGTCAGGCGCCACCTCTCTGGGGACATCTCAGGCCCTCCAAGGTTTGGAGGCCTATCTCCCCTACCACCACTTCCCCTGCCAGTGGCGGACCCCCTCAGACATCGGTGCGTTGGTGGTTCTTTGTGTCCGGGGATGGGCGTCCAGGTACACACCAGCTCACTCCTTGGTGGCCGCTTATCGGGGCCTGGAGCCTGGGGCTCGCTCGGGCCACTTCGGAGGTGGGGTGCCCCGGCCTCTCGGCCTGGGGCTCGGTCACTCAGGCGCAGCTGGCTGCCGGCGGAGCTCACGGGCGCGTCACTGCAACTCCCCCTGGCTTCTGCTCCGCGGCTGCTGAGTGAGCCCTCATCTGGGACTCTCCTCAGCTCTTTCCGGGACAGTGGCGCAGCTGCCCCTCTGTTGGTCTTCCTTGGTCTCTTGTGTTCTGGGGGCCTCTGGATGTCTGGAGTTTTGATCTCCTCCACACCTGCTTCACGCCCTGGAGGACGGGGCTGTGGCCCCCCCACACCCTCTAGCAGATTATTACATGAAGGAACCTTTTAAAAAACAAAAAACAAGCGCGTCCATGCTCACAGGTGTACACACGGGTGATCACACCCACAAACTACACCCTTTTTGGCTCCTACCTCAAAGCACACTGTGTTCTGTTGATCTTATGTGCTGCACAATAATGTTTAACATTTAGTATTTACTGTCATATTCCCATATATCATTGTGATGTTGTTTATTCTATTACTCTTGTTCTCTTCTGCTTGCTTTCTTTTTTCTTTCTCAGCAGGTGACCCAGGTGATTGATATATGCATTTTTTTTTCTCTGCCCGTTCTGTTGGTTTTTGTCTTTTGCCCTTCTCCCCCGTCCCTCTTCTCAGCTGTTTCTCTTTCCCTCTTTCTTTCTCCCCTTCTTTCCCCCAGTCAAGTCTGTCCCGTATTCAGTAAGTGAAAATAAAATAAACAATAAAAGGTGAATCAAATGGACCATTACGGCAAGGCTGGGATGGTCAGTTTGGTAAAGTAAATCCGTTGGGCATCTTTCTTTGCCTTTAGACAACAATTCTGAGGGCAAAAGAGCCAAACGGGACAGGCCAAAAAAAAAAAATGCACCATCTTGTCAGCTATCGCTAAAGCTCCACTAATCAAGACTGCTGCCCTAACACATATTTGTGGTACAGAAAATGTGTCAGGCTTATTATGGAGGCATGACTCACTGCTTCCTGGACTTTTTTTGGACACCTTTTCCACGCAGTTATTTTCTGTTTCAGTTTTAGGCAAAGTTTTCCATTGTATTTGCATGTCTGTAGCTGATGTCAGGATGGTTATTTGAGTGAACTGGTCTTGTTGCTACTGAAGGTGGTTCTACTACCCATTGAATCACATGGCTTTTTTTTCCGTTGTTTTCACTAATTTGCTTATCCATTTTGATTTAGTTTTTGTTAAATACAGTGTAGTGAAAAGGTATTTACCCTTTTCTTGAATTCTTAGCTTTTTGTATTTTTGTTACACTTGAATGTTTCAGATCATAAAATAAATGTTAACATTAGACAAAGATAACCTGAGTAAATGAAAAATGCTATTTTTAAATTATGGTATATATGATGGTATGGGATCCAGTCAACCACAGAGAGAGCCACAAATGGAGAAAACTTGGAATAGTGGCGAACCTTCCCAGAAATTGTTGAACCTACCAAAATTACTCCAAGAGTGCATCAACATCAAAATCTCATCCAGAGGTCATAAAATAACCCAGAGAAGCATCTAAAGAACTGCAGGTCTCACTTGTCTCAGTTGAGGTCAGAGTTCATGATTCAATAATAAGAAAAAGAGTGGGCAAAAAATAGCTTCATTGGAAAGTTCCAAGTTTAAAAATCACTGCTGACCAAAAAGAACACAAAGGCTCAGATGGCCCGTCTTCTGTGGACTAGCTAGACAAAAGTTGAACTTGCGTCCCGTTACATCCATCGCAGCAGTCCATTTAAAGGACATCATAGCACCAGTCAAACATGGTGGTGGTAGTGTAATAATCTGGGGCTGCTTTGCTGCTTAAAGACGTGCACAACTTACAATTTACTGAACAATGAATTCTGCTCTCTAACAGAAAATCCTGAAAGAGAATATGCAGCCCTGAACCTCAAGCATGATTGGATTGTGCAGCAAATCCAGAACAGACCAGCATGTGCACCTCTGAATCGCTACAGAAAAAAATACAATAATAAATTACGGCACTGTTAAACTCACGGGAAATGCAAAGCATTTATAAACTGCCTTTCCTTATCACCTGTCCTGCCAGCAGTGCGCACCGCAGTTTTATTATTTAACTTCAGTCTTCCATATATGTCGTATTGAATGTCTCTGTATATTCAGTTTAATATTTGATGTAAATCCAAAAGTTTATATTTATTTATGAGAAACAGTAAAGCCTGAATAACTTATTGTTGAAAATAAACCGCACACTGATGTGTTAATAATCCGAATTATTGAAGGGTTAATGGAGTTCAAGTTCTTCGTGTGAAGGCTGAGGAGAACTTTATAACATATTTGTATTTGTTTGTATGTGCTGTAAATATTTGTCACTTAGGCAAAAGTGTATTTTCTTATTAAACATCTTGTTGCTATTCATATGCATGTAAACAGCAGTTATTAGTGTAATAAAGGAACATAAAATATACAAGGTTGTAAACCTCTTTGCCAGTAATTCAGAATAGCTGTTTTCTTTGGTTGTTGTTATGAGCAAAATTAAAATCGAAAGGAAAATTGTAGGCCTAGATACAAACTCAGTAACCTAACCATATAAGCATACCATTGTATTTAAATCAGTAGGAGCACAATATAGTTTTGTCTCAGCCTGCTGCACAGATACAAGGCATATGGAAAAACTCTGCTCTGTCCTGCACACAGATTTGATATCTCTATAAAAGGCATAAACTGTTTGCTTATTTCGGGGACATTTGGCGCACATGAAACAAAGGCACCTGAATTTTCAGTGTTTTGTTGGAGTCTGTCCTCGGGAGGGTGCTGTGGGAGAATCCAACAGGTTTACAGGTATGGACGCCTTCAAGTGCAGTCGGGAATATTGCTATTAGACATTTCTACCCAGTATGAAAAGACGAAGTTTTAAGCCTTGCGACTTGGTTGTATAAAAACTGCATACACATTTATCATTTACATGCTTTAAAATTGACGATTAAATGCTGAAGTCTTGGAGGAGGGGGGTTTAATTGAGTAATTAGCTGAAACTAAAGGTTGAGCTAAGGTTAAATGAAACTAGTTGCTATACTGCAAACTTTTGAAGGTTTTCTTCAAAAGTAAATCAAATGTTTAATTTATTAAGTAAGAGGTTGAACAATAACTTCGAACTGTTCCTTTAACTCACAATGTCGCTTCAGAGCGAGCAGAAGACGGGACGCTTGGTGAGGTAATCGTGTGACTGTCGGGATAGTTGCTGCCTGACTACTTTTGGTTTCGGATTTTTTTTCCTTTACAGGTTTAGGGTTTGGTCACAGCTTGTGGGTACAGGAGCAGCAGGAGGAGGGACACGGGTGCTTGACTAAGTTTATTCAGCCGGATCTAATTTATTTTTCTTTTCTTTGTGAGCGTGTTTCCCTGTTTGCTGAAACCATGGTGTGGTCCTTCTTCTTCTTCGGTTTATTAATCGCGTGTACAGGTGAGCTTGTTTTCTTTCTTTGTTACATAAAGCTACCATATTGTGTCTTTATGAATTGATCGCTGCAGCTTCGAGCTCATCTTCGGGAGAAAGCCTACGCCCATTGTTTGATACATATCAGCTCTGTTCGTGGACTGTATAAACATGCTGTCCTACTGTCCGTGACCGGGTTTGTATTTGTTTCTTATAATCGTGAATTTCAGTTTTAATCTCTGTGTTGTTAGATCTTCTCGACTAAACACAGCTTGTAAATCATTGACCCAAGTTTGTGTATTTTATCAGGTCAGTGTCTGAGCTGTCATTCCTGGAGATGTATGAAAGAGAAACTAAATGACCAAGAAGAACTATAGTAACATTTGTATCAACCACTGTAAACTAAACAACAAAAAAAAGTTAGAACCCCTCAAATCCAATCAAGTCCGACCCCCGTCACCACCAACAAAATGAAAAGAAAGTGCTACCAGAAACAAAAGTAGGGAGGGGGGTTACATTCAGTGAAGCAAAAATAGATATGAATAGAAATTGTACTCTATGTGTCTACATAAACTTGCATCTCCATATTTCATTATCTTGTGTGAACCCAGAAAAAAACAACAACTTTGAAACATGATTTATGGCGCTACTAGACAGACCAGCTTTTCTCAGAGATCTGTTTCTTTACAGAAGGGGCAGATTTCTTGCTAATTTTATGAGGAGATTTCTTTAAGCTTCATAGGAATAAGGAGGAAAATTTGCAGTTTCCATAACAAAGCAATGAATTATTATCAGTCATCAACTTCTTTGCAAGAGAAATATGAGTCATGTCACTGAGTAAGGCTGGTTAAATCTTAGTCTCTGATACTGATCCCAGACAATACTTTAAATTACTTGAATAAAGTTTCCAGTGGATATTTTGCTTCTGAAATGGATTCATTTATTGGCTGGAGGTATAATGATGTAAGATGAAGTAACTCTGCAACAAACTTGTGGTACCAGTTATGCTTTAGATACTGCCTGATCTCCTTTCTTGGGAGGATATGCCTTTTAGATTAGAAGTCCTTTTTTTTGCCTGTCCCATTTGGTTCTTTAGCCGTCAGAATTGTTGTCTGAAGACCAACAAGGATACCCAATGGATTTACTTTGCGAAATGGATCATCACGGCCTTGCCATATTGGTCCGTTTGATCAACCTTTGTTGTTATTATTTATTTTATTTTATTTTCAGTTGTTACAGACGGGACAGACATGACTGAGGGATAGGAAAGGGAGAAAGAAAGATGAAGGAAAAGAAAAACAGAAAGGAATAGGGACAGTGAGAGAGGGCACTTAAAAAGAGAAAGAAGAGAAAAAAAAATCTCCTGGATCACCTGTTGAGAGAAAAAGAAGAGAAAACAAGCAAAAAAAACAGAGTAACATACTAAACACAACACCATCACGTTAATCTAGCTAAGTGTAAACAGCAGTAAATACTAAATATTGAATGTTGTTGTGCAGCACGTAGGACCGACAGCGCACAATGTGCTTGGAAATAGCAGCCAATAAAGGTGTAGTTTATGTCTATGAACAGTGGACACCCGTGTGCACACCTGTGTGGATCAGCGCGCTTGTATTCAAAAGATTTCCCCATGTAATGGTGTGCTAGAGGATGTAGAGACCCATAGCCCCATCCCCCAGGGCATGAAGCAGGCATGGAGGAGAGATTAGAAGTCTTTAAATCAAAATATCAAATCTTTATGAAATTTAAAAAAAGGTCCTCAATAAATTTTCATCTGGAGAGCTGAAGAGTATGAAATTGATAATTTTTTAATACAATAATCTTTCTGGCTATCCTGGAGTAGCTTGGCTTTCAAATACTAATTGGGCGAGAGTTGTTTAGTGTTTGTGTTCAGATATTGAATGGCTCATCTTTTCAGCACGGAGTCTTAAGTCCTCTGAACGAGGCCAGAGTACTAACAGGACCGTAATGCTTAGTAGAACATCAGAGTAAATGTTGCCATAAACTTAAGTCTTCTTCTTCTTCTCTAGGAAACCCTGCAAGTGCCTCCTGTCCATTACAAATGAGTCCCTCTAGAGTTGTGGTGAAATTTGGAGACGCCTTATCAGCCAAGTGCACTTCACTATCTAACCAGACTGAAGGAATGGGCTGGGAGTCTCCATATGGAGGATTGGACAATACCAAGGGTGTCACTTTTCTTGACTTTAAAATTGACTCTGTGCCAGTGTGGGAGTTAGAGCCAATATGTTTTGTGAATTTCCATGATGGTGATCAGTGTACAGAGGTTTTACCAGTCACTGTTTATAGTAAGTAGCCTTAACTGTCTCATATATTTCCAGAAAAGGTGTTTTAGTATTTGAACAGTGAATGACATTAATTCATTTTATTTCTTCTACTTGCAGAAATGCCAGACAGTGTGTCATTGAGACAGAATTCAACTACAGTGAAAGAAGGTGAAAAGTTTGCCATACAGTGTGACATTGTTAATGTTGCACCAGCAAGAAATCTCTCTGTGCTTTGGCACAAAGGAAATAAGATCTTAAATTCTGAGACATTTATTGAGTCCAGTCCATCTCCCGTCAGTAAGTCATCTGTCCTCACTCTGACTGCTCATAGAGATGATGATGGAGCTGAGATCTGGTGTGAAGCAAAACTAAACTTGTGGCCAGGAGAACAAGGTCCTGCCATGATGCGCTCAATGTCGCATAGAGTGACTGTATTCTGTGAGTTTTTAAGTTGATCTTGATCAAACATCAGAAGATTTTCCTTGTATTTTATTTTCTAATTTATTTCACATTTGTCTGTATTTTATTTGCATGCATGTCCTCAGACCCACCAACCTACACCAAGGCTGGAAATGAGACTCTGGAAATGACAGTTGGTGAAAATATGACTTTAAATTGTAACGCTAAAGGAAACCCTCCACCATCATACCACTGGGAATTCCCAAAATTCACAAAAGAATGGCATGACAAAGAAGAAGTGATTGAGCCAATTCTGACCCTACCGTTTGAGCTTCCAGGGGTCTATACATGCACAGCCTATAGTAACCAAGGCAATGTGATCAAATATTTCAATATCAGCGAAGCTCCAAGTAAGTTCTCATTAGTTACTTCATGACATTTTGTATCTCGTTATACGTTCTTATTGTCTATAATATTTTGTGCTGTGATTCTCCATTAGGTAGTCATCCTGGGACCACTGCTGGGATTTTAATCGCTTTGTTCTTTGTTTTCATTTTTATTTTGGGATGTGGGGTTTATTACAGACAGAGCAGAAAGTCTGAGCAGATAAGTTGAGAGCAACAATGTAACAACATTTCCCATCTCCCACAGGGTCTCGAACAACCTTTGGAGTCATGGTGGGAGTGGGTGTGGCCGTCGGAGTTTTGCTCCTCATTGCTGGTGCATATTTTGTGACACCTAATGGAACGTTCTCTTTCAACAAAGGCGGCTATCAACCAGGAACTCCCTCAAGACCAGTATAAGGCAGACTTTTTTTTAAATTCAGATTTGCATGGCTATTATTTTTATTTTTGTTAATGATCTTATTTGGTGCTTGGACCCAAAAATTCTGTAACATGTCTCTTAATGGACAAAGGACATGTCTGCTCTGCATGCTCTGTGGGTGTTCTTCTGCTCAAAGCTGTGGCTTTAAAAATTTATTATCTTGTCAGCTATCTCTAAAGCTCCACTAATCAAGATTGCTGCCCTAACAAAGATATATAATACAGGAAATGCGTTTAAATGCACTGCAGTAACCTTTACAAGTCTGTGTATAAAAATGCAACAGATAAATAATTAGATTTCATCCCCACTACAGTCTTATTTTGGAAGCATGATGTGCTTGCTGGCCTTATTTGGAAATCTTTACTACACAAATACTTCCTGTTTCAGTTTTAATCAGGATAATTCAAACCTTTTTGCATATGGATGTGATGTTTTCCTCTCTCCTGCACATTTTCACAAGTCTGTAGCTGATGTCGAGATGGTTACTTGAATGCACATAAACTCATTTAATGAATCAAGCTGATGTTGGACTCAGGGGAATTAACACCTAACAGGCGCTCTTTTTCTAGCTCATCATTTTGGTTTTATGGCTTTCACACATACTGTATGGTTTGTTCTGTGCTGATTATCAGCTTCGTGCTGCAGCAAAGCTCCGATGAAGCCACTATATCCTGTCCATGCAAAACTACAAATGAAGACAAAGGTCGTATCAGAGGAATTAAACAGAGCATATATTTTGGACACAATTGCTGTAATACGTTGATACAGCTATATATGGTCAGAGTGGATTTCTCAGCTTTTTGTGCAGTTGTGCTTTTGGGTTATATTTCTCATCTAGTAATTGTGTTAAAAAATATTGTTTTTATTGTTCATATGACTTGATAATTAGGTACTATTTAACAGCAATTGTTGCCTCATCTGAATTGTAGACCTCTTGTGTGTCTTTAAAAAAAATAACAATTCATCAAGAAGTACATTAAATATTTGCATAAAACTCATTTTTTTAAAGCAAAATTAGCAATTCTATGTCAGCATTTTATATATTCATTTTGTTTCTACTCATCTAAACATGTAAATGCTTTGGAGGTACTTTTTATGGAATTACTTGAGAGCACAATGTAGTAATTACTTTTTTTAAGTATTCATTTTGGGATATGCATAAATTATTCATATTTCTTTCTCCTTTTTTGTAAAATTCGATTTCTGTATGCACTGGTAAGTCTTTCGGATCGCTTCATAATTTTTGCACTGAATAGACTGATAGAGTTTATCAAGTATTGCGCCAACTTTTCACATGACACAACAGTTGTTTTACTGAGTCTGCATTTTACCAGAGTTTGTCTAATTGTACCAGTGACATGTTTTTAAGAAACTACATGTGTGTGATTGTAAATCCTGAATTAAACAATTCAGGAGATGAGGCAAAGTCAAACCAGTTTTCTTTCTCACTCTCTGTCTTTGAGTCTGGCTACATTTTACAATGTTCACTCTGCCATACTAATTAGTTCTTTAAAAAGTGAATGTAAAGAAGATCATTTGTGATCCAGACTACTGTTGCCAATATAAACATATTTCTTATGAAACCATGTTTTTTTCCTTCTCTGTCACTGTTCAAATACTGTTTCTGTATGCTCTGTGTTGCCCTAACAACCTGGCACAGCCACCAGTGCTCAATTAGTCATGGACTTAAAGAAAAAAAAACAAGATTTTTCAAATGAGCAAACGCACAACATTAACGTGTTTCGATAGAGAACTTTTAGAGGGAAGAGCATATTCAAAGCTGCAAGTGAACTGAGCTCATACTGCAATGTGTAAGTTGAGATTCCCAGCTGTGCTGTCCATAAATACACCATAAAGCGTTCGATTACTCGCTCCCTTGCACTGCAGTTGTGGTCAAAGCTGATAGGCTGCGTAGCATTCTGGTCACAGTTGGGAGTCTTACAAGCTACATCCTGCACAAGACCAGCACTGCTGCCTGCTGGGATTTCACAAAGCATGGAGGTCAGGAGCAATAGGAGGCAAGCATGCAAGACGAAGGGAAAACAAGCGTTTCTTCACAGAGAGTGACACTGAAAGGAAAGAGAAAATGTGGGTCAGGTTGATATGCTTTCACCTCTGTGTTCTAGGAGACTCACATGACTCAAAAATTAAGGAATGAAAGTTTGGTGTTTACATTTTATTCTACTCAGATTTCAAGCTGGATGTTGGAAAATAGGGGTAGGGGGTGGAGGAACTAGACAGATGTATTCATCCTATATTAGTGGCATTTTAGTTCTGCATATACTTCGATGTCTCTGCAGGCTTTTAATATCCTGCATACTTGCTTCTAAGATTACTGCAGTGCAGTAAGTGTTATGCTGTTTTTCAGAGGCCTGCAACCTGTTACATTTCCCTCTTTCCCTTTCACCCCCTCCATCGCCCCCCAAAGTCAGCTGGGAGGGAACTTTTGTTCCAACATAATTCCCTGCAGGGTTGCCAAGGTCTTTCAAGTTGGAGTTCTCTTTCTCTAGTCTGTTAATCCACGGCTCGGTGCAGAAAATAACATGGGAAACAACTTTCTCACATGGATTCTTTTGCTTTGCACATTTTGTTCAGGTAAGATTTTGTCGCAGAGGTGTTTCTTTTCACTTCTTTGGGTTGTAGATGACGTTTGGTCTTATGGAAATGCTAGTAAGTAAATCCGGGTTGGAATGATCAGTAACTTCTGTGAAATAAATCTAAAGGCGAGCTCGAAGAATTAGAGCAGCCAGTTTTGTGCTGACAAAAATATTTGTCTTCATGCCAAGACTGTTATTTACTCAAGTGATGAAAGGCCCTAAAGAATAAGATGTGTGGTTGCATGCTGGATGCTTATTAGGTTGCAGCCAAGATATAATGTGGGTGACGCCCTGTAAGTAGGTCAGTTTAATTCTGCTGTCATAGCACATGTGACTTATTAGTAGTATAGCTATAAATCCCCTATTAGCAATGCACACTTGTAAACTTTGAAAGTATTAGACAATTCCTGCTTGATTACTTGTGAGTGTGTTGTAACAGGGTTACATAATGTGCAAGTAGTTACGGCTTTTTCATGTAAATATGAATATGCATTGTGATGATGATGACAGAAAAACAGTGAGAGATATCACTGCTGTGTATCTTAGTGTCAGGTGAAGGCTGCTCCCTAATCCTCAAGCCATCCAGGGTCGTGGTGGGCTTTGGGGAGTCAGTGTCTGTCAGCTGCGAGGCTGCACGCCCTGTCCGTGTCCTGGGCTGGGAGTCAGCCATCAGTGCTTCACATACACAAGAGGACCGGTCTGTCCAGTGGAAGGTGGACAGTCTCATTGACTGGATAGAGGAGCCCATCTGTTATGGGGTGTTTTTCACAGCTCCGAAACAATGCGAGGAGAAGCTCAACCTCGTGCTCTACAGTGAGTTGTTTAAAAGCTGTTGTTAAGATTGATTTCTCAACCGAGCCCTTTTTTGATTGACCTGAACCCTGTGTGTTATTCATTTAGAAACTCCAGACAGTGTCTCCATCAGACAGGTGAACCACACCGGCCCCATGGTGGCAGGGAAAGAGTACCAGCTGCTCTGCGAAGTTCAGAATATTGCTCCCGTTCAGTATCTCAGCCTGAGGTGGTACAGAGGGCAGACTGAGGTTTATAACCACTCCTTCTCTGATCTCACCTCTTCCTCACCTGTCCAAGTATCCTCTATCCTTGTTATCACACCAACTAAAGCTGAGAACGGAGTGCAGTATAAGTGTGTTGCAGAGCTGGAGCTTGGGCCAGAGGGACCACAGCCACCTCCCACTGTTTCCTCAGAACCTCTCAATGCTTCTGTTTATTGTGAGTCACTAAGCTCTTCTCATTCTTAAAGCAAGTTCCTGCATGCTCGATACAGTGAGAAATGATATGTGTAACTTTCTCTTTAGTTCCCCCGACATTCCTGAGTCCTGAACCAGAGATTTTGGATTCTATACTGGGGGGTGAGATCATATTAAACTGCACTGCAACAGGAAACCCCACCCCAATATACAGCTGGCAATCTTCCGTTCCCATGCAGGAGAGGGTGGAGAATGAAGCAACTGTTACCTCCTCCTCGCTGCTCCCAGGGACCTACACCTGCACTGCATCCAATACACTGGAAAAGAAAAGCAAGCAGTTCATTGTCAAGGCAAAGACCAAAGGTAGAAGAGAGAAATGAGGCACATGCGCAACCTGTCTGTGCATGCTGCAGCCTAACTTGTATCTTCTTTTGCTTTCACCTAGGCGTTTGAAACAACCACTGTGGAGAGGGGGTTGGACGACCACATCAGAAACACAGCGAGAAGTTTATCTTTTTTACAGTTTTTATTTCTGGTGTTTTTGTTTTTTTACTTTCACATTTGCTACTCTGGCGATGGAGGTGCATATTTATGAGACGATCTTCTTATCATCCAGAATTAGTTCACACAGAGAAACAGACCTGAATATGCTGTGCTTGGTAATTACCATTTAATTTGTCAGTGTTGTTTTAGGATGTAGTTCACATTTTATGAGACATTCTGTGTCTAATTTATATTTGGATAGGCCCTTTTTTCCTATTAATGAAACTATCTTGTAACACTACAGAAGTGTAGCTACTCATCATAGCAGTATGACTAGCACCAGGACATGGCTGTAAATATGACGTCTTTGTTTTCTCATCTTTATCAATACAAGTTTAATAAATGAATTGTAATAAACTTCTTTCATGGACCAACAAGCCACCTTTAATCAAACATCTTTCCAAAGGAAAAAAATACTAAGAATACTAACACATAATTTACAGTAGTCTGTCCAATCCAGATGAAGCTTAAATGAATCATGCAGAACTTAGAACATATAGATAGAATTCATATTAAAGGTAACCTTTATAATTTCCTATATTCATTTTAAGTAAAATTACATATTCTATTTTGTTCTAATTTTAAAGATTATGACTTGGAGCTCATGGAAATCAGAAGCCAATTTCTCAAATTCTTATTTGAGATATTGTCTTATATTAATGAAACAAAGATTTACAATACAGAAATATCCAACTTATCAAAAGTATGTTCATCTGTACACTCAATACTTAGTCTGGGCTCCTTTACCGTGAACTGCTGCATGATTGCAGAGCAGCGTGATGCAGCCGATCAGCCTGCAGCACTCCTGAGGAGTTATTTAAGCCATTGCTTTAATAGCCACCTTCAGCTCGTGTTTATTTTTGTGTTGGGTGTTTCTCAGCTTGACAATACCCTGCACAGCCTCTCTGTGGCAGGGCTGGGCAATTACCCACCCCCACTCTACCGGATTCAGTTCTGGCAAGTTGACTGGCCAATTAAGCACATTAATAACCCAGGCAGCAAATCTGGTAGTAGTTTTGAGACTCTGGGCAGGATCTAAGTCCTGCTGAAAAAGGAAATAAGGTTTATCAGCAGGTGGAAGTATGAAGTGTTCTATAAGCTCTTGGTAGACAGCTGCACTGACATTGCACTTTATAAAACATGGTGAACCAACCACATCACAGACCTTGGATTCTGTGCCTCTCCACTCTTCCTCCACGCTCTAGGACTTTGATTTCCAAAACTAAAAAGTAAATCTGGTTCATCTCTGATTTAGGAAAAGTCAGTGTTTGCTCTTGATGCACTGGCACCACGCTCAGCCCATTCCTTTTCACCAATGACTTTCTCTGCCTTTCTCCCTTTGTGAACAGCGTCATTGATCGCTGTCTGGACAAGTGCCAAGTCAGCAGCCTTCCCCCATAATTGCGATTGCACGTGGCATGCCCAGGAGATGAACAGTATTCATGCTGTAATAACATTAATTTAATCAAACTTGTGAAAATAATCTAATATCTGAGACACTGATTTTCACAAGCTATAAAACACTCTAAATTAACCTAAAAAAAAGTTTATTTCACTGTGTTTGAAATTAATGCAGAATACATACGTGTTTACCTTTTTAAAGCTATACCAAAAAAACACAACTTTTCACAATATTCAAACAGCTGCCATTGCATCATTTTCCCTCTGTCACTGGGTCACTACGACTTCTCACCGCGAGATGGCGTGGTTATACTTCTACAGTCATTGATCTTAGGAGGTGATTGGTTGTTGAAGACTCACATGATCAAAACACTGCCTCGTAAGAGGATTTTTAAATATATAGAGAACTAGTATATGAGTGTTGATTTTAAAAATTTAGTGCCATCTGTGTGTGGATTTTATCATTTGGACCCCTGTCACGCGGTCACTGCGGCTTCTGACCACGAGATGACGCTGCTGTACTTCCTAAGAGGTGATTGGCTGTTGAAGAGTCACATGTTCAAAACACTGCTTAGCAAGGGGGGACTAGCATGAGCAGCTAACATTAGTTAGCTTTTTGAGACTAATTATTAGGTCCATGACAACTACTTAAAAGTGATAAAGGTGGGAGTCATTTCTTGGGTTCTTTCTTATGTTAAGTCCTCTTTGCATTTGCTCACAACAAAGAATGTCGTGTTCTCTTTCAGAAATGCCACAGAAGGATCCGTGCCAAAAGCAAGCATGTGCAATTCAGAAGTGTTTACAAGGTGCTTTAAGCGCTCACTTTGACGCAATTATATGTTGGTGAAGTGAACCTGAACTGTTGCCTAACTCTATCTCCCCCCTGCAGCTAATAAGTACGTGGAAAGCCTGTGCGAGAAGGAGATCGCGGAGATGCGGCGGTGCTGTCAAGTGCATGCGGGAAACTCCATTTGCTGCTCCGGGTTCAAAGACTCAAAACCCGCAGAGAGCAAAAGTAGCGAATAGTTCCATGTTACATGTATTCATGCAAGTCATAATTCTGCATTGTATTAGTATAACATGACAGTGGAGTTTGCTGAGTTGTTGCATATTTATTTGTCTGTCTGCTACCATCCGTTTGTAAATTTAAATAGTGTTTTCTCACAGCAGACATTTTGAGATTGCAGAGAGCCTCATAATCACTCATCCCCCTGGGGCTAAATGGCACACATCTGGCAGCCTCACAAAGCTGAACAATGCAAGCTGTCTAATGTATTTAAATATTATATCGTGTGGTTCTGTCCACACCCAATGTATTTCTCATGCCTAGTATGAAATTTCAAGTATGTGTGTGGCAAGGAGTTTTATTCTAATTATAGTAATAAAGATTTTTTTAAATTAAGAATTTCCCTGGAAATCGAGACTAACTTGTTATTCATATCTCAGCCTACAGCAAACATCGTACAGTGGATAGCTTTTAGGGGTGTAGAGGAGAACATGGCAGAAAGACAAAGTTTAATGCTAGCTGGGTAGACAAGGATGAGGCTCTAACAATTGTTTTTTCCTTCTGGTAAAGAAATAAAATGTTTGCACTTTGAATGAAACAATTGGGTTATACTTTTTAAATTAGGAGCATCATTCACCACTCATGCAATGATTAGGACAAGAAAGTCATTACAATTTAAGATTTGTTGATTGATTCATGTTGTCAAACATTTTCTTTATGGAAGCAGGTAAAAGTGGAGGTGTGAAATTAATAATACTCTGGTAGATTTGTGGCTTTCAGTTAATTCAACAACCTTATTGACTACATAATTGTAATTAGAACTACATAATGCCCTGGGTAGATTTTATTCCTAGGTGTGTTGTTTTCACCTTCCATTCTGCTGGGTCGATTCTGGCCCTCGGGCCAGAACTGGGTCAGCCACACCTCCTCAATGACTTAAAACTTTTAGTCCCTGGTGTTATGGGCCCCAGGGGTCCAGGCCCATCCAAAAAGGTTAGTGCACCCCCTCAGCTGAATTCTACTGGCATAGTTTTGGAGGCAGGCACTGTGGCAACTCATAAAGAGAGAAGCAAAAAGAATAATTTTAGTAAAATTAAATCCTTCAGTTTGGTAAGGAAGGAGATCTAAATCATTGATAAGCTATTACAGTAAAAACCAAGCTCATGTTACTTATTTGATTAATAGTAGCTTAGTGACTAGGAAGTAATCTCAGCAGTGTGACTCAGGAGGACACTGATTTTTGGAGCGAATGGGCCTGTGCAAGTCAAACAATGGGAAGAGCCCCCATATGACTCTTTGGAACAAAAAAAATGTCATTTTTTCGACTTGTGTAGTTTGTTATAGGTGGTGTGGATATTCTTGTGGTTTAAAGTTGCTTGTTTGTTCTTGAATTTGTTGTGTACTTTTAAAGGTGGCCCAGCTGCCCCCATATTTGCAAGGGGTCATTACAGCGAGTAGCACCAGATTTCTGATTTGTCAGGCCCTTCTTGACACAACATCAGATGGGTTGAAACAGGGACCTTTTGCTTGTTGGGTGAATGTGTAAAACTCTACACTATGGAGTGTATAGGTTATTATTATACGGGACTCCCTCTTTCTGTAACATTTTAAATATACCTTTAACCTTTTATTTTTAGCTATGCATCTTATTTTACCCTCTGTTTTTAAAGTGTAAGTGCAAATGTGCACACAATGTATAGGATAAATGTACCTAAATGTCTCTGAAGATGTAACTCATGCCTAATATTTTTTAGGCATGGTCTGAATATTTGTGAATCCAGGCCTTGGATTATTTTAACACTGACACCCTGGTTGTACCTGTTAGACCCAGACAAACTACATTGTTAAGGATTTCCTTAGTACATGAGCTCCACATTCTCTGCATGGGAGTCATTGCCATCTTGAGCAGCTGTAAACGGTTGCTCAGGCTCATTTTACACTTTGAAACCTTGCCTCCTTTTGTCAAAACTCTAAACAAGTAAATTCACACAACTTCTGGCAAATCTTACTAACTCATCAACACAGTTTTGCACGTTCTCAAAACCACGGAGTGTTGTCAGATCACACAGGGAACCATTGAGAATAATCACACCACACATGGTACATTGCACAATACGCCTAGGACGAAAAATGTAAACAGCTTTCAAAACATGTAACTCAAGTCTTTCCGGCCTCGTGTGGCCATCTTGCATGTAAAAAAAATAATTTGAATAAAAAATAGATCCCTCCTAACACACACGCACACACATACTGCCATCCACTCCTCAGCTTCCCTTTTATTTACCAAGACATCATTGTGGCAACAGAGGATCTGCTGAGAAACCAGTTTTATTCTCATCTAACATAATTATAAAAAATTAGAAACCATAAAACTGGAGTCTGGGAAAAATGTGAAACACTTTAATGAGTACATAATTGTGAGAAAAGAAAATCACCTACTTCACACTTCTGCTGTTTCTTTTTATATGGGTTATCAATTCGTGCACAAAAATATGATAATATAAATGCTTGAATATTTTTTGGGAATGACTGTTCTTCATCTTATTCTTCCTCCTGTGCCTCACATAATTTCCACCACCCTTTGAGCCATCTTAGCAGGCCAAAGTGGCTTTATATCTTATATCTAGATTTTAAGAAATGACATCTGTGCTGTAATTGTGATTAATGTCTGCTTGCGGTTCTTGACGTACGAATGCAAGTGAATCACTGTGCAGAAATTAGTTTCTTAAGGCTTTAAGCTTTAGTCTCTTAACTTATAGCTTTAATAGAATTATACATGTAAAAGTAAAGAGTGTTGATAAAGGTTTATACATTCAGACCAATCAAATGTATAGCCAAAGACATATATACGGCAATAAAATAAGAAAAAAATCAAGAAATGCAGGCTTTCGATCTTTTGATATAGCGATGTTGAATGTTTTCAGTTCATATGTTCAACAGGTTGGATGCCAGTTAGAAAAGAA